CAGAATTCATCATTCACAAAGGCAGAACGGAACCGTGAACTCAGGAAAATCAAGATGTCATCCCAAGAAAAAGATCGGATTTTGGAGCAATACGATAAATCGTATCATTTTACTGGAACTATGCAAAATATTAATACTTGGGAGAAATGAAAATTAACATAAATCTAGAAAGAAGCGTTTGAAGTTCTGATGCATAAGCCAGGAAAAAATTGCACAAATCCAGGCAACTACAGGCAGGTATATAAAGGTTTTGGAAAAGCTGCAGCCTTGGAAAAAAAAAAAAAAAAAGACATTATATCAAATATTTGTTCCAGTGATGGATACAAGAATCTTAATACAGAGAATACAGGTTCTGCTTTTAGATTACCAGCTTTAAAAGTTCTGATTAAAAGAAGAACAGAAGATTGTTTGTCCATATATATACAGCATTTGCTCTGTACACAGCTTTCTATAGATATTAAAAATGTTCTAAAGTATGAAGATATTTCTCTCCAAAGCAAAGGGAAAAATCAAAAGTCACATTATTCGGGGAAACACAGGAAGAAAGAGCACCAAAGAAGAAGACATGCTAACAAGGCTGAGGCCAGCAGACTTAATAAAAAAAAAAAAAAAAACTGCCCTCGATAAACAAACATCCCTCAGGATTGTGCAGAGCTGTCAAAGAGAGGAATCAGTGGAGCAGGTAATTTTTCACTACCAAAAGTACTCCTGAGAGCAAGAAACACTGTCGAGGGAAATCAGGGAAGTGCGGGGTAGAAGAAGTGACTCTGAAAAATGTATTTACCATCTGGTTAGGGTGTTGATGCCATTACTGGAGAGAAACTGGGCAGGGCAAAAAAGAATTTAGTCTTCAGTGAGATAAGTGAGATAAGATTGTGTTTGCTGGCTTGAGGGGGAAAAATAGGTCTGATGCACATTCCAGCATAATGGCAGGCAGTGATGCACCTTCTGCAAGTCAAAGTGAAAAGGAAGAAGACACCAAGAGAGCAGCAGACTTACTTGTGACCAGATCCTGTCCAGAAGCTGAACCTTCCATGGTGGAGATCGGCAAGAAGCACCTTCACACGTCCAGCAGGTGTAAACTACATTAAATGGAGGGGAAAGGTTTCATCCAGGCTGCTTTGAAAACTGATTTTAAAAATTAACAATAGCAGGCTAAAGCAACAGATACCTGTTAGACAGAACAGCACAGCGGATTAACTGTGAGCTTGGTTACACCTACCTGATAAATGAGCTCACTAACTTTGAGAGACCAGCTGTTAGCTTGTTTTGAAGATGGCGGAAGCTAACTCATCATTGTCCACCTGCTGGGCAAACTTTCCAGACAGCTGCACCTGAGAGGAGAAGAAGAAGAAGAAGAAGAAAAGATAGAAGAAGAGATAAAAGAAGAAAATGAGGTAGAAGAAGAGGTAGAAAAAGAAGAGCTAGAAGAAGAAGAAGCAGCAGTAAAAGAAGAAGAAAAAATGATGCATTGTGGGAAAAAGAGGTAGAAGAAGATGGAGATAAAAGATTTTAAAAAATAGCTAGATGATGAAGAAGAAGAGGAGGAGACAAAAGAAGAAAAAGAGGTAGATGAGAGATAGAAGAGATAAAAGAAAAAGAGGTAGAAAAAGATGGACAGGTAGAAAAAGAGATAGAAGAAGAAGCAAAAGAAGAAGAAAAAACTGATGCATTGTGGGAAAAAGAGGTAGAAGAAGATAGAGAGGTAGAAAAAGAAGAGATAGAAGAAGAACCTGGTGCATTGTGGGAAAAAGAGGTAGAAGAAGAAGAGGTGGAAAAAGAGATGAAAGATGAAAAACAGGTAGAGGAAAAAGAAGAGGAAGAGACAAAAGAAGAAAAAGAGATAGATGAAGAGATAGAAGATAGAGAGGTACAAAAAGAAGAGATATAAGAAGAAAAAGAAGCTGTAAAAGAAGAAGAAAAACTGATGCATTGAGACGTAGAAGAAGAAGAGGACGAATCGCTGCCCTGTGCGAAAAAGAGGCAGAAGAATCTGTTAAATCTGAAACCACAAGCTTTGGTCGTCAAAACGGCTAACAGCAAGACGCTAATAAGCTAGCGAGCTAACGCTAGCCGCCAGACACGCCGCGCAGCACAGCCGACAGATCATGCCTCCTGAACAGACACCCGTCCACCGCCAGCCGCCCCCCTCCATCATCACCCAGAAGGTGCAGCTAATTTACAAGCTGTTTCTACTGGAAAATGCCAGAAACACGCTCCAGCAAGACCTGCGCAACTTCACCAACAAGGTAATGTTAACATAAGTTTAGCGTTCATAGTTACACAGTCCGGTTATCGTGATCTGTAGTTCGGCTCGTCTAGCTAGCAGGAGCCTATGGTCAGGTCATAGCCCAGAATGGTGCACTGTAGCTTGGCTTGCTAAGTTGGTTGACTGAGGTTGCTACTGAAAAATGCCAAAAGATGTTCGATGTGGAAGTAAAACATATCAGAGAAAAGCAGAAAACCGTCACGTAGTAGAAGCACCCAGAAGGATTATGTGAATGGCACATTTTATGGAAATTACTTTCACCATGATAACTCGAAAGTTATGCACGGATTTTCATGAAATTTTCAGGAAATTTTGATAATGGCATAGTGAACAGATGATCAAATTTTGGCGGTGCTCTGGCTTACCATCTGGTTACTCTAACATAAAACAATAAATGCAGTTGTGTCACAGTGGCTCAGAATGCTGTCGTTGCGCCGTTTGTCCACGAGATGGAGCTCTGACTCCATTCAGTCCTCACCGCTGTCTTCTCAGTAGTACAAGAGTAAGCTACAGCCAGGCAGCATCACAGGAGTGGGCTGAGCAGAGCTACTGACGGATAAGTTCATAACGATGTTGTGACATCAACAATGATTCAACATGTCTCCTGTTTCACTTTAACTCTCTTTGCCATGTGTCATGACGAGTGATGTGTGCTGCGTTGCGTCTGTCGTGCTTTTCATTTACGTTGCTAAAGTTGTGCTAACCTAGCTTCAGCTACTCCCTGTCCGTGTATGTTAGCAACAACATCACTGTAGTTATGCCAGCCTAGCATAGCGTTAGCTAACAGCTTAAAAGCCAGTACGTAACTGCAGAAATAAGTGTACAAAATATTGGAGAGTACAGAACGACTGTTCATCACTCCGTCAGTTTGTTATTCATGCCATCAATGTTAATTCAAATGCTAAAGCTATGTTTTGATTGTCCATGAATCTAATAGTGTAGATAAAATGAATGCAGGACTTTAACATTGGCTGGAAATCACAATATGGTGGAAATGAGCTGCTTGGCGGAGGTCTGCACTCTCTGAGGTGCTTGTCTAGTTTATTCATCAGTTGATTACCAAACTTGTTCATCAGTTTTTTGATATCTAGTATTTTACTTGTATTTATGAGTAAACATGAAAAAATGTTTAACCTAAGCTTCTTTCACTTTTCCATCAGGGCTATGAAGATGTCCAGGGTTTCTTGAACTCCTCTTTTCCAAACAGTGCCTTCAGCGACCTCACAGAGGCCTTAGATGTAAAATGTCAAGCAATCTGGCAACTTTCAGCTTCATTAAAGAACTTCAATGATGGTAAGTTAATAATGGATCATACAGTTTTAGCTGCTTAATGTGACATTGCAGGTATGTGAGATAAAACTAGCAAACTATATAGTATGGACCTGAGCTGCCGGCAGTGTTATGCAGGTATCTCATGTATGACTAAGGCATTTTGTTTCTTTGCAATAATGATTTCAGATTTATCTCCCGCTGAAATGTAAAACCACAAGCCCTCTGAAGGACTAGTTAGATTGTTTGGATGACATCGAAATGTGGATGGAACTAAGTTTTCTTAATGTAAATGATCAGAAAATAGAAGTTTTCTTTTAGTTACGGGCCCTAAATAAGCTTTTTCTTTCCTTCACTGATTTGGAAAAGGTAATTCGCCCCTTTATTTTGCCCAGGCTTGGCTGTTAGTCATAGTTCCTACTTAGATGTCAGTCAGTTTTTGCTTTCTCATCTAAAACTGATCCAAAATGCTGCCACTTGGCTGCTAACAGGCACATGTGAGCACTGAATTCTACTACTGACCAAAGGCTCTTGGTTGTCCTAAGGTCCAAATTAACACATAGACAAAATCTAAACTGCAAAAATCTTCCATTTTACATCATGACTTCACCAACACAGGACATTTTTAAAACCTGCTTTTTTTTGGTTTTAAAACTAGACCAAGTTTTGATATTTGCTTTAACTTGTGTTGTTTGCTGTAGCCGGTTTTATTGTTCTATACTTTTGTTTCCTCTCATTGCCTTCCCCCATCTTTTCAGGGCCACAAATTTGTGCCCAGCCTACGGTCAAAAATGGAATGAGAACAAACCAAGTTCATTCAGCTGGTGTCAAAGGCATCCTGATGACTGATGTTCTGAAGTTCGGGCCCATGTTGCAGAACTCACTCATGGCGAGCTCCATAGCCAAAGCGGTCCAGGTGCTCGGAGCCACAGTGTCCCCTCAGCAGCTGAAACACTTCCTCACCTCCCAACCTGCAGCAGTCCAGCAGGATGACATTATATGTAGCACCTCGACCAGCTTCAACAGCTCTGTTTTGACTACAAGCTCATCCTGTTATGTAAAGACTGAAGAACAAAAAGTTGTTTTTGAGGACAACAGCCAGCCAGATGTTGTGATTGTTCCACCTACCATTACTCAGAGCTGTGATGTTAGCACAGAGAGGCCTCAGCTACTACTGCCTCCAATACAAGCTGTACTCCCACAGATCAGTCACGCGAAACCAATGAATATAACTCCACAAATACGCTGGGCATGTGAGAACGAAGTGCAGGTGCACCACCAAAAACAAACATCCTCTCAGCTGCTGCACTTCCTCAGAGAAAAAGCTAAAAACACGGGTGCACTAGATGTTACCGTCATGCATTGGAGTAGAAGTACAAACGCGTCAGGTTCACCACAGCCGACGTCACCTGCCATCGAAACCCAAAGGTACCAATTTAGACGTGCTGTGACTGACGATCTGATGGGTGCTCCAACTCCCAAAATGCTGCGTGAAACCATTGAAAACCAAACCCCAGCCTTCAGACTTAAAAGGGCCGAGTCTAGTGGCTCTTTGATCTACAGCTATGTGATTGCAACAGAAACTGAACTGTGGGATATTGGCGACATCTTCACAGAGGTGGCCGAGGGAGACTCTGATCCGAAGCCCTTTGAAGGTGAAGAAGAAGAAGAAGACGCCCTAAATATAAACGCTCAAGTGGAGAACTCCTGTGTTAACATCCAGTGGAAAACCCAGACCCTTAAACGCACAAAACCTGCAATGAGCGTAGACATTCCCGAGTTTCAGATCCGAAAGTTTGAAGAGACTGAAGTTGTGGTGTCTCATATCGTCAGCCCAGGAAACTTCTACATCCAGCACGCAGACTCCCCTGAGAAGCTGCAGGCCCTTGTCATTGAGTAAGTCATTCAGCATCGAGTCTAATCTCTTGTCTGCTTTTTCTCAGCTTTTCTCAAACCCTTACTGATTCCCTGATCACATTTGCAGGACTTAAAAAGCCACTTATTCTTTTTATTCATTACTGCTTTCTTTGTAGATTTTTTTTTTCTTTTCTTTTTAATAATCCACATGTTTCTGGTTGTCATTATGTTTCTTCTTTTTTTTTTTTTCTCATTTGCAGCAGCTGGAAAGCCAGTAGTTCATATGCCGAGCAGAACTGCATTCCAGACATTGGAACCAAAGTAATGGCTTGGTTTCCTCAGCAGGAACAATGGTGCAGGGCTCAGGTGATGAAAATATGTGGAGTGAGTAGAGGTGGGTCCAGTTTTTGTGTGTTGGAATGGTTTTACTGTTGCATACCTCTAGATGGTAGCAGTGTCTTTTTGCCTGGCTGGGGCCTCTTGGGAGTTTAGATTTCTAACTTCTCTGTCTTCTGGATGTAAGATGATAATGCCACAGATGGCGCTGAGAGAAAGACATCCATCAAGGTGGAAGTGAAACGGCTGGACCACGGCGACACCGCTTGTCCGTCTTTGTGGAACGTAAAGGACCTGCCCCCAGAAATGGCTGCTCTGCCACTTCAAGCAGTGCAGGTTTCGCTGGCAAATGTGAGCGTTTCCCTGCTGTTACTCAGACGATAGCGCTGGCTTCAAAGTCTTCCACATGCACGTAAACTACTACATAAATCTCTCGCTGATGTTGAAATTTTTTCCGAAACGAGCGTGCAGATCATCCCTCTCAGAATTTGCATACATGGAAATGGTTAATAAACTGCGCTTGTGAGAGTGTAGACTTAATTATTTGCATTTGTCCACACGATTAGTCACAGCTTTATCTATTGCTCAGTGACAAAGGAAATGAATTATCTCGGTTCACGGTATTTTGCGTCTGTTTCCTCTCCCTCAGGTGACGCCCGTAAACGAGACGGATTGGTCTGAGGAGGCAGTGGACTGGTTCAAAGCGATGGTGCACAACAGGACGCTCTACGCCAGACTTTATCCTCAGGGGCCCAAAGTTACAGTCGAGCTGTTCTTGGAAAAGGGAACGCTAGGAGCTATGAGGTACTTAAGGATGAAGCAGTCAATTAATGGTGCATATTAAAGTCAGAGTAATAGAGTTGTAAATGACATAAGATTTATTCAATCCGTCTGATGTTGTTACTTGTATCAAGCAGGCCTTTATTTTGCTGTTACAAGTGATCTATTTTGTTGAATCAAGAGCTAGGATACAGTGGAGCTGCTCAATATATCATTTCACCACCAACACTGGGACATGTGAGCGCACAATAGTCCCACTGCAGGAAGTGTGTCGTGATATAAACTGAGTAAATGAACATTAACACATCATGTTTTTTGCTGTTTGATGTGAAAAGAAAACTCTTAAGGCTCCACATGTGCACAGCTAAATCAGAAAAGAAAAAGAGACAAACACAGAAAACAAAGATTTGGTCGCAAAAAAGAAACATCAGTTGGCTGCGCTGCACAATTTATGAAATATTCATCACAATCATGAATTCCAACAACTTACATTAACATGATTGACTGCGATATTGACATTTAAAATGTGCACTCTGCTCACAGAACACAGCCCATGTAGATGAAATCACTTGGGTTTTAACTTGGATGAATGTGACATTAATATTTCACTCTTTTTAAAGCAATTGTTGGTCGCAGTCCTGTCGAGCTGCTGTGTTGCAGTAGAAGCTTGTAGAGCCAGCTTCTACTGTAGCCTGCATTCGAGACATTGGTTGTAAATTGTAGTGTCTTATCAATAAGCAGGTGTTCAGCAATTAAGACGTTTTGAGTACAGTTTTTATATATACATAGAGAGAGAGACTCTAGGAGGTAAAATGAATTCAGGAGAGAAAGAACTGGATTTTAGGTCTAAAGTTGCACAACATAGAAATGAAAGCAGTGCTCTGTTTATTTAATTGTAATTGTGATCTCAATATTGGTCAGAATAGCAGATTTTGGTAATATTTGTATGAACCCAGGAAGTTGTATGCAGATATTTCAGCTACAGAAAAGATAATGTTGACCAAAAACAGATCCTCTGTCAGCAGTGTCATGCAACCGTTTCCACAACATGATTCAACAAGACTAATTTATTTGGCATTTAACGTGGCACCACAAACCTCTATTCTGAACACCATCCAAAACAAAACATATTTCAGATACCTTTGCTACTTTACACCATATGAAAAACGTCCTAACTTAAAAAATGTCTTTTTTTTTTTTTTTTAAAGTAAGTTTTGTTTTTTTCAGCTTTTCAAAATGGCCTTTTATTTTCTATGCTGATGATAGAATTAGACATTCTTTACAAATACAAGGTGTGTCAGAAAAGTTCCAGGACTGGTGTCACAAAAGATATATTTCAAATCCAACCTATAAACTACAAGCTTTCCCCTTCCAAGTAATCCCCCCTGGAGTCTAATGCACTTTCCCAGCCTTCTCTGCCACACCGCCATGCACTCCTGGAAGGATTCTTCCAGGATCCTCTTCAGCTCTGTCGTGACAACCATCTTGATGTCTTACTTACTTACTTACTTACTTACTTACTTACCCCGTTACCGTCTGTTGGGACACTAGCAGTGTGTCAGACGATGCACGGTTGCTTCGCAGTTCCATTCGCCATTTATCCCTGTCGAGGGCATCATCAGGGGTTAGCCCCCAGTCCGCGAGATCCCCTGACACCAGCTCCTCCCATGTTTTCCTGGGTCTCCCCCTCTGTCTTTTTCCGGCGGCATCCAAGTTCCTGATTTTGTTGATGAACTGAGTACTGCGGTGGACATGTCCGAACCATCTTAGACGGCGGTACCGGATCTCTGTATGAAGATCAACGAGGCCTAATTTCATACGAAGCTCACTTGAGCTGATGTGCACATCAGGCTTGATATGGTACATCCATCTCAGAGTGGATCTCTCATTCCACTCCAGACGACTTAGATCTTCTTTCCTTAGAGGCCAGCACTCACGGGCATACAGCATGGTACTTCAGATACGCGGCCACGGACATCGGGTGATGTGGACCTTGATGACAGGAGAGGCAACAGTTCTTTGAATTTCTTCCAGGCTGATCTGGTTCTAGTGATAGTCCACGTCTTCAAAACGGGTCCCCTTGATGACCCCCTTGAGCTTGGGGAAGAGGAAAAAAAACATGGCGATGTTCTTCTCAGCCAGGAACTGTTGGATGTTCAGGGCATTGTGAGCAGGCATGTTGTCATGGTGAAGCAGCCATGACTTGTCCTGCAACAACTCTCGCCTCTTCCTGAACGAAGCAAACGCCGCAGGATCTCTTTGTAGACGTGCTGGTTGATCGTCTGAAGGGGAAAACTCATAGTTTGTAGTTTGAAATATATCTGTTGTGACACCAGTCCTGGAACTTCTCTGACACACCTCATAGTTATCCAGGCTATCCAGGGAAAATGTCTTAATATTTTTATAATGCAGTGTAAATCTCAGAAACGCAACATATTACAAAGTCAGTTTTTTCCAACAGTATGCAACCCTAGAATAGTGCGTGTGTATGGATTCATTATCAGCAGGTTCCAAAAATCTTAACTGTACAATTGATTGATCATCTTCATTTCAGGAGGGGAGCATCACTGTCTGTGAGACTGGCCAAAAACGGACATGCACAACATCACAAACTGAAGAACGTCGGCCTCACAAACAGAAGTAAGTTGCGCATCTACAGTTGGTGGCAGTGTCGGCTCTGTATTCTAAAGACTGTCTTCATTATCAGAAAAAAACATCTGAACTGCTCACTGTTACTCAAAACCTTGTTTTGTTTCGTAGGCGCTGTTCAACTTAACATGCAAAAACAGGATTCTGAGTGGGAGAAGTACCTCATCTCATGTTACACTCAACATAAGTAACTGAAAGCAGGGAGTGTGTGTGTACTTCTGTCTTGCTTGTGTGACGGACTGTGAGGTTTGAAATACAAATGGCAACTCCTGCCATGCAGCACACGAATATAGACATTTGATTACTCTTAAATGAGAGAGCAAGAAAAAAGTTTTGATGAAGCATTTGTGCACAAGCGAACATTAGGATTAAATCCATAAATAGTCATTAAAAACTCCAGTGACTGCGTAAATCAAGAATATTTACATTTTGAACAATGTAATCTAAATACAAATTCAGAATTCTAACTCCAGGTGTTGACTGGACTAGTACACATTAAGTTACTTGTATCAGCTTTCATGTTGGTTTTTATGTTGCAGTTTACAAAACGACGTATGGTGAATTTTATATATAAATTCATATCATTTTTTTTTGTAAGTTAAAGATGTTTGACATTTCTCTTTAAAGTAGAGATACATTTGTGTGTGAACAATTTTTATAAGTCTAATTTGGATTGAAAACAGTTTATTTGTTGTTCAGTTTTTTTTTTTTTTGTCTGCATTCTGACACTCGAAAACATTAAAGTGTGTCTCCGGTCCTGATTATTGCAGCCACTAGACGGTGCTAGTTCAGTCCGATTACCTGCCTTCTATTAAGTGATACTTGGTTTCTCTCTATGCTACAACCAGTAGGTCTGTTTAATTAATTTTTTTATTCTACTTTTGATGATCATCACAAGCTGCTGCTTCGGTTGATATTGAGTTCTTGTACAATGGCTGATTTTTATTTTTTTTATGTGTACATTTCTTCTTTTGCAATAAAGACGTGTTCTGTGCTGTTGTACTACATGTTCCGTGCCTCTCCATTCTGTAGAAGGAATCTAAATGAGCCTTAGTTCATTCAAAAGAATTACCAGGCCACCCAAACCCTCCCACTACACTTGTCACAAGTGACGCAGAAATGCTCACAGCACAGTGAACCGCTGTAGGTCATTTGATGGTGCATGACAAGCGACCACATTGTGTTTTCACAGGCATGCAGTTTTGTTGTTACTGTAAATTATTGTTTCTGCTGCCGCTGTAGGGAGGAGTGTGACCGGAACAAACTGTTAAATATCAGTTGATGGTGCCGTATAAAGTAACGATTTCATCAGTGGATTGTGTGTTTTCACATGGGTCTGGGGGCATATGCAAGGAGTGTGCATCCACAATGGGTCACATGCAGATTTATTATCATTCAGAGCTAGCAGAGTAACTTTTAGCCCAGTGATCAAATCAAATGAATGAATCAAAAATCAAAACATGGAAGCAAATTTTATTCAAAAGAGAAGCTGTAGTGATTAGATTCCTGTAAAATGAGCAAATTTAGAAGAGAATGTCAAAGTGATTGAAAATGACTTCAATCTAATCTTATATTTATAGTGTTATTTGTCAAAGTAAATATACTTTTGCATGTCTGATTGCATTCAAATCTGTGACACTGGTTACATCGGCCTGCACAACAGAGCAGTGGCCACTCCATTTGCAGCAGCTTGTGTGTTTTCTAGATGAATTTGCAAACCTGTTAGTGACTCTGCTCTCTGCTGTGGCGCAGGTCAAAAGCTTCCTTCACTTCCCTGCCCTGCCAAGCACAATAAATAATGTGGCAGGCTGAGGCCTTTTGTGTCCACACAGATTCCTTCTTTTGCCCGGGGTAGGCGGAAATCGAGGCGTTTGATCTGAATTCTAAAGAGTCTTGTTGCAGCCCAATAAAGGCTGCCATTGTATGTAAATAGTTTATATAAGAGCATATGACTGCTACGGTGCAGGGCAGTGGCTAGTGGCGGAGGAATGATTAGCATTTTCCAAACGCATGGTGTTCTCAATCCAGCCTTTTGGCTCGCTAAAAAACACAATATTTTAATTCATTTCTTCCCATTTTGTACACATTTTTGTGTACCACCACAGCTGAAGGTAAAATGCGTGTTCTATCCTTTTCATTGTGTTTTCTACTAACACTCAGCGAGCAGAGGGGTTGGATTTGATGTGGGTGACGGCTGACATGCCCCAGTGCCTCGACTTCACAAATACTTGGCATACTAATGGTCACATTTTCACGACCCTTTATAGTAATACTGGTTTATTCAACATGTTTTTCAAGAGTGTGATCATTTCAAGAGGCAAATCTGGTGAAGTGTCGTTTTTCTGAAACAATAGACGTCTCTCACTTGGGCTCAGAAAAAAAAATCTCAAATGAGATGCATGTCTTGCTGGTTCCTTGGAAGAAAACTGCTGTCTGTCTGTCAGTCTGTCTGCAACTGGGCTGTAGGCCAGTCTGGGAGTACAGTTTTAATACAGGGCGAGCAAATCACGTGGTTCGGCAAATGTTTCGCAATTGGCTTCAACCTGCTGCGTCTTGTGACGGCGCATGGTGGTAGGCCATCGCCCCTGCTTTTATACGGCCGCCAAGCTACTTGGCAATTCTTGTCTGTTGTTCCTTACTCCGGAAAATCCAGCTTGATGCTCAGGTCACACCTCAAGATGGTCATCTTTGGACCCGGCGCTGCTTACGCCGCTTGCACCGCCGGCTGAGCCTGGTAAAACTCTACAAACTAACGTTCCAACAGCTAGACTTTGACTAAATTGTTATGTTTTTGTGGACGACAGCGTTCATGGACTTTAGATTATTTAACTTGGGAAGACATTTCTACCAGTGTGACTTTAAACCAATACGAAGGGTTAAAGTGTCAACAAGTTTAGAAATAATTTTGATGCATTTACTTTTCTGTGAAGCAATTTAAGGAATTTTGTTGAAGTTCATTGATAGTTTGCTGTTCTCCTAAGTTGACCAGAGATGTAGCTTAACCTACATCCATGTAACCAAATAATTATGCTTGCTTTTTTTCTTTTACTTTGCAGACCTGGAGTCGAAGATGAACTGGGGGACCTTTTATGCCGTGATCAGCGGCGTAAACAGGCACTCTACCGGCATTGGACGCATTTGGCTCTCCGTCATCTTCATCTTCCGTATCCTGGTCCTGGTGGTCGCCGCAGAGAGCGTTTGGGGGGATGAGAAGTCCGGCTTCACCTGCAACACCCAGCAGCCCGGCTGCAACAGCGTTTGCTACGACCAGTTCTTCCCCATCTCGCACATCCGTCTGTGGGCGCTCCAGCTCATCCTGGTCTCCACCCCCGCGCTGCTGGTGGCCATGCATGTCGCCCACCGACGGCACATCGACAAGAAGATCCTGAAGAGGTCGGGCCGCACCAGCCCCAAGGAGCTGGAACGCGTCAAGAACCAGAAGTTTCAGATCACAGGAGCCTTGTGGTGGACATACATGATCAGCATCATCTTCAGAATCATCTTCGAGGTGGCTTTTCTCTACATCTTTTACTTGATCTATCCTGACTTTAAGATGGTGCGTTTGGTGAAATGTGACTCGTACCCTTGCCCCAACACCGTGGACTGTTTCGTGTCCAGACCCACAGAAAAGACCATATTCACTGTGTTCATGCTGGCAGTGTCTGGGGTGTGTGTGCTGCTCAACCTGGCTGAGGTGGTGTACCTCATCAGCAGGGCCTGCAAACGGTACTTTGGCGTCTCCGAAGATGAGTCGAAAGTAGCTTGGATAAGTCAAAAATTGTCTACTTACAGGCAAAACGAAATCAATCAGCTGATAGCAGATCATTCTCTCAAGTCTAAGTTCACTGTGACCAAAAAGAGCCCGACCGAGAGGGGTGAGAGGTGTTCTGCTTTCTGAGACTCCCTTCAAACTAATCAACCGTAATCACACCTGTCCGTGGAGCATGTTCTGCATTAATGACACATATACTGTATATTTGATTGTTGTCAACATTTTGACCATTTATTTATGTATTATTCAGTCAAATGCTTATTTATTCTTGGGGTTTTTTTCTATTTATTTTAACTGACACGAACGTTAGCTGCTGTTCTTGTCTAAAGTATACGGAGCCAGTAGTGAAGGTTCAAAGACTGCACCAGTGGTTTTACATGTTTTAGCACAATTACGACAAATTCTACAAACGTTGTAGCGGTACCGCACGACTAAGCTTACCATCATTTGTTTGATTGGTTTTTTTCTGCCTTTAAAGTTCCATTCTTTCTTGCATAGAGGATTTTTTTCCACTGAGTGTTAGCCAAAGGAAACTTACCAGTGCCAAACTGACAAGAATTGATAGTTTAACCAATTTTCTTAAATTGGGATTTCATTTACTGAAGCATAATACACGCACAAAAAGACACGTTTGTGCATCGATGGCCAGTCATAACAGGAAAATACATAGATTTCTGTCAAATACGGTAACACAGATTCATTGCCTTTGCCGTACACATGCCGATCATTTTTAATGTCATGCGTAATCAACTTCCAAAAGCCCATTATCAGCCAGGAAAAACCCTGCTGTACATTATGAGACACAAGCTGTTAAGGTGGGATAATTGCCTGAGTTAAACAAACCATGAATGTGAGCATCATAACTTTGTTTTTGTCAAGAGTTGCATGAAAATGCACTTCCAAGTGCGCATTTGTTAAAATCTTGCAGATGTGGCAGGTTCGCGTGCCTAAAAGACCCAAATTACTGCCAAAATACTCGTATTTATGAGCCGCGAATATGTGGAAATCAAATCCAGAACACAAATATCAAGCATTTAAAAGATGTTGTTAGCAATATAAAGGTTGCTGTTTGGAAACCGACTCTGGCTTTGGTTAGCAGCTTCTCTTCAGAACATTAATCCACCCTGTAGCAGGTTTTTCACACCCATTCACTTTTTTTTTTTTGGTTGCCTGCTTTGACAACAGAAATTTAGCTTTGACAACAGAAAAGATGAATGAATAACTCTAAGGAGGTTACACAAAGGCTTCATGAATAGATCTTCATACCATACGGAAATGAAAGGAAGTGGACGGCTCAGAAATGTCCAATAATACTTTTTGAAACGTGTTAACAGGAACATTCAGTCTAATTGATGTCTAGCAATAAAACATTTGCCAAAATGTGTAAAAACACCAGTTTTGGGCCTTTAGGAAAAGCCGACATCACTGAAGCAATTAAAATGCTGGATAAGAAAGTCAACTTGTTCATTTAGATCAAAGGTAATACTACTGTGTGTCACATTTAATGCAGTCTGGTTCAAAGCTAGTACAAGTATGGAACAGAGAGAGAGGCATTTATTGAAGTAGGTGCTTAAAGCCAACAACCCTGTGGCACTTAGATTTTATTGACCTCTCATTGAATATGCTAAACTTTGCTATAATTGTTCTGTAACTTGGTATATTGCTCTGAATATATTGTAACAACTGGTGCTAGAAAACCAAAGAAGTGTAAAGATACCGTCCAGCCGTGACTGTAAAAAGAACCCCCTCCGACAAACACGTAACTACTTATCTAATTATAACAGTGTTAGTCTGAAAGAAGTATTTTAAACTCCTTACTGTCAGTAAACTTCCATCTTGGATTCTTTCCAGGTCAAAACTGCTCAAGTGATGAAATGGCAAAAAATTGCAACAACACTTCCATTGTTCTTCTTCTGTCTTCACTCGTCTGCTGGGTCACCTTTGAGGATTTTTTTTGTTGTTGTTGCAAATCCCAGTACTGTACATACGTCTTTGGATTTGTGTATCTTTGTATTCATTTGTGAATACTCACTTCACTGCAGCTTCTGTCTTGAAGTTTTCTTCCAGTTGAAGTCGACCTACTTTGTTTTAACCCGTCGCTGTCACCTGCTTCCCTTAATATTAGACTGCATATTATATGATCCAGTATCTCTCTGCTCCTGAAAGTTTAATGCCCCCGTGCACCGGTGTCTGTTTTGTCGGTTAACCTGCTTTGTTTTTTTCAGCGTGTTTTAATGCGTACGGAAACCCTTCTGTTGGCGTGTATGTCCATTTACATCCAGGTAAACAATCCAGACGAAATATTTAATGGGTTGGAACTATATACTGTGTACATTATGTCATATAAAGAAATAAACTGCCTGAAAAGTTGACATTCTTTGAAGTTATTTGGCAAACATACTGGTTTTTTTCTCACTACATGTGTCCAAAGTTTTGTAGCTACCATCCCTGAAAGTGAACTTTTTCCTCTGCCTTACTTCCTTCCTGTTACTGTGGTTTGTAACTTGAGGATGCCAGTGCCTACTCATCTCCAAATCATGGCCCCCTCCTTCCCCTCATCCCACCCCATGATAGGAGAGAGACCGTTGTGCTATATTTGGACCCCAGGAAAGCACTTGTGGCCAGACGGACTTAGCAGACAACATCATTGGCCAGCTGCCCCGTCACTCACCGTAACAAGCGAGTAGATGAGCTTTAATAGTTTACATTAGAGGCTGTGCCAAATTTAACCACTGGAGGGGAGGGAGGGCAGGTCGGACATGGTTGAGAGTGTGTGTTTGTGTGTGTTGTGGTCAGCACAGGAAGACCCCTAGGCCCTGGATCCACGACTCCTGCCCGAGCCGGGTTTGAAGACACAAGGCTGAGTCAGTGGGTTTGTCGGTGTGGAACTGAGTTTGTTCCGAGCAGGAGTCCGCTTTTCCTCTCCATTCAAGGGCATTGCTTGGGGGGGGGGGGGGCCCTGAGATCAGCCCCACGCCGAGGCCTCATCAGCGAAAGCAGGGCGGCCTCATGGACCCTCCAAGGCGCGGGGAGCTTCACCACAGGGGATGTATAAGTTGACAAGGTGGCTTTCTCCAGTAAATGTGAGTTTTTTTTGTGACGTTCATACTTTCTTGATAGAAGTTTGTGCTCTTCGGGGAGCTGAAGTCAGACATAAACCTAGGATGAGTTAGTTAAGGTGCATGTTGTGACCAAATGCTGCAGTTTGTCTACAGCTGCTTCCATGATCTTGAGAAAAACAGTTCCTGATGTTCCTCTCCACTGTTATGCGCTATCACACACTGTGAGGGGTCTCATATGGACAGCACACCTTTGTTTAAATTTACTGCCCAGTCTACAATTGTTACAGCATGAGATAGATTTATTAGAGGTGGCTCCACTAAACTATCAGCTCACCTGCCACATTCGAGCAGTTGGACAGAATTCACTCACAGTCACGGCGGCATACTTTGAATTTCCTGTCCTGCCACTGTACAGCACATCCATCACAAGCAGAATATATTTATACCATAATGTGTCACAGGAGCTGACAGTACCGACATTACTCGACTGTTTCTAATTCGTACTTCACAACACATCTGCCCGGTGTTTGATTTCACCTCGTGTGGCTCATGTTGCCGCGGCTCGCGTCATAAAGGCCGGGAGCTGCGGAATCATGCCTGAAACCTGCCTTTCCCCCCTGTCCACACTTGCCAAATATATGCCCTCCTAAAGTAAATATAATCCTGTCTGCATCCACGTGGATAAGGACAGTACCTGCTCAGCAGCAGAGTCCCCCCCCCCCCTACAGTCGGACACTCAGTAGGCAGCTTGACTCCTTAGAGACTCGCTCGTTCTGAGCTCGGCTGAACTTGGTTAGACATTTTAGGGAATTTGTAGTCACCAGGAACACCGAAGCCCACTTTAGCCTCTGGATTAGTTTAATTTTAGTCTCTTGGTGTATTTGCTGCATAGACAAGCCTACAGATAAGTCACGGTTTGAATGTGACTGTGTCCTTTTTTTTTTTCTTTTTTTTTTTTGTAATGCCTCTGTAGTCCCAGATCTGACCTTGCACAGCCATGGGGGACTGGAACCTGCTGGGAAAGCTTCTGGAAAAAGCCCAGGAGCACTCCACCGTTGTGGGGAAGGTGTGGCTCACTGTCCTGTTCATCTTCCGCATCCTGATCCTGAGCGCCGCCACAGAGAAGGTGTGGGGCGACGAGCAGTCGGGCTTCACCTGCGACACCAAGCAGCCCGGTTGCGAGAACGTCTGCTACGACATCACCTTCCCCATCTCCCACGTCCGCTTCTGGGTGCTGCAGATCATCTTTGTGTCCACACCCACGCTAATCTACCTGGGACACATTCTCCATCTGGTGAGGATGGAGGAGAAGCAGAGAGAGAAAGATAAAGAGAGAGACAAGGACCACGGGCATCATTCAGACAAACAGGCCCTCATTGGGGAGACTAAGCACAAGAAAGCTCTGATAAGGGACGAGAAGGGACGGGTGCGCCTGCAGGGGGAGCTCTTGCGCACATATGTCTTCAATGTGATCTTTAAGACTCTGTTCGAGGTGGGCTTCATTGTGGCCCAGTACCTCTTGTACGGCTTTGAGCTGAAGCCCATGTATACGTGTGACAGACCGCCCTGCCCCAATGTGGTTAACTGTTACATATCCCGGCCCACGGAGAAAACCATCTTCATCATCTTCATGCTGGGAGTGGCCAGCGTTTCTCTGCTCCTCAACCTCATAGAGATCTACCACTTGGGCTTCACCAAGTGCCGCCAGGGCTTCACCTTCAGGAGAAATGAAATGTCCCACGAGAGCATCTCCAAGGAGCCCAGCGAGGCCGCCGTGCCGTTTGCGCCGAGCTACGAAGACTACTTCCACGGGCACCGGCCAGTCCAGACCTCGTACCCACCCGTACCCAGCTACAACCTGTCCCCTCTGTCTGCCGGCACAGACTCGTCCTTCCACCCATACCACAGCAAGGCAGCCTACAAACAGAATAAAGACAACTTGGCGGTGGAAAGGAGCAGCAGCAAGCCAGAGGAATGTGACCTGAAAGGGAAGAAGGGAGCAGGATCGGCCCCTGGGTCACCTACGCAGGCCAGGCCCGGCCACGGTGCCAAGCACAGCAACAACAAGACTAGAATAGACGATCTGAAGATATGAGGAGGTTTATGTTTCTCCGAGGGGTCTTAAATTGCTGAGAGGGGATCATATGTTGTTTGGAAGCATTCATACATGCTGTACCGACTCCCCCCCCTCTTAAAAATGGCACAGGTTTGACTCATTCCAGCTTAGAGGGGAGTGACATTTATAGGGCACACAGAGGACCTTCAAGTGTACTGTAATGTGTAAAGACGGATCTGTTGAACGTTCCCATTCAAAGAGATTCTGCTGTTCTTTAATCCTTTAATTTTGAGAAACCTACTCGGATTTCACATTGTGTTGGCTCTTCCCACTATTCAATATCACCACTTAAAATCGAACAAAAGAAAAACATACAATCTGCTCAGGTTTATATATTGAGCTCTTTTCTTTTTTTTTTTATTGTTTCAATGTGTGAAAAAAAAACAGCCCATAATCCAGGGCAGGAACTTGTTGAGCACCGACCTGACCTCATTTAAAGGAAATCAGATAGGGCGAATAGTTAAATTTAACTTCCTGCAACAGTTTTTGAGGTCATCATCGAGCATAGTTCACTTGCATAGACTTGAAGCGAAGAGTTGTGCAATACCTGACAACACATTACACACTGGAATCTCTATTTATTCCAGAGAAACAAATTGCACTGGTCTCAGGAGTTCCCACATTTGTACTGTCTTTTTTTTTTTTTTAATTGCAACAGCCCGCTAGTACATAATCATAAGCACATTGTTTTGTTTATCCCTGTTTAGATCTGTATTTGTGTTGTTTGTTTCCTGTAAAGCACTTGGGTGACAACCGTGTTTGAAAAACTGCTTGAAAATAAACCTGTCTTAAATTTGCACTGTTAGCAGTTCGTTTATAATCGGAAAGTCTTCATCAGGAGCGGGGGAGCAGTTTCGAGCGAAAGACACGATGCAGCTGTTGCTTCATATTCCTGAAAACGATAAATCAAGATCAACTCGGAAATAGGAAAGATAATATTAGCAGAGTTTTAGTACTGGTGCACAGTAGTTTCCAACGTGAGGCCCCTCTTTTTCTTTCAAATCTCTGAAATTAGAAGCGTGCCAGGTTGGGTTGAGTCATCGGCATGTACACACAAACATTTCATATGTTAAGAACCGACACGTCCGAGCAGTAATAAACATGTCATGTGTGAAGTCTTTTACCGTCTGCATATGACACACACACACACATGCACAACTCATCCATGCCAGGAAACCGTAGGAACCCCTGGTATGGAAACCTTGAAATTAATGGCATAGCATGTTCAGGACGAGGAAGCGCTCTCGTGCTTTTGGAACTGGCGCGTTCATAATTTCCTGTCAGTGTTTGGCACGTCAAGGGAAAGAGCAAATGTGATTTTTTATTTTTTTCTTTAAATGGATTAAAAACAAAGCAGTTCAATCTCTTTTGGTTGTACTTTTCTCTGCGTTTTGAGATAAGATTGAGTACGGTCTGGGCGTACGAAGCTGCACTTTCTGTGTGTTGTGGTGCCAGACACAATATGCCTCACATCCTTCATATGTCATTGGAGAAAACAAATAATAGCACAAGCAGACTAAACAGCCAGAAGTGTTATCTGTAATATATAGCTCCATAAATCAGCAAGCAAACCAGAATAGCCTGTAAGTTAAAAAATAATAATAATAATACGTCAACTTTTCTTCTTCTTTTTTTTTTTTTTTTTTACAAATGAAGATGAAAAATGATGGCGATTTTGAAAAATAATAAAGCGATCATCCTCGAGAAAAAAGGGGGTTATGTGCGTCTTTGAAATGATGACAGATGAACAGAGTTATGACTTAGAAGTATATCCAGCACTTTGAAATGAAATCCTTTTGTGAAGGCCAGCATTTCCAATTGTGGTCGCATCAGACCGTTGGGCCATTATAGAAGATGAACAGCATAGCACATTCGTAGGAGATATACAGCACGTTCCAATAAATGACAAAAAAAATAAAATGAATCTGGGAGCAACATGAGCATAAATAGCAGATCAGAAAAGAGTGTTGGAGTCTAAATCTAGTTTTATGACAGGCAGCCATTTGAGCTTTTTTTGGGGGGGTTATAAAACTATTATTTCTGAATAAACCCTCAGATTAAATCAATGGCGGCTCTTTTTTTAGCAGCATGATGAAACAAACAGTCATTTCAGTACAATTCTGGCGATTAGATAACACTTTCCTCGCAATGTAACACGATTTTATTCTAAGATTAATAAATAAAATGGCACCAAATGGTGTTCTCTAATTTAAACCTTAATGTAACAGCACTATAACATAAATATATTAATAGTATGTAAATGAATCAGATAAATTATGTATATTACTACAGTAAAAACTGCATAATAATAATTTTTCTATGCAGCCATAACATCATGTAGTAGCAGCGCAATTAGCGCTTGCGAAAGTGACGGATCCTTCTCACGCTGTAAATCTTTTGCCTTTGGTTCTGCCTTTTTGTCATGTGGGAGTTGCTGCAGTAACTTTTCTCCATACTGCCAAAAAACTGTAGACTATCTTCCTTTCAGCGAAACCAAAAACACATGACCACCCTCATTTTCTGCACTCCCCTTCCCCTGAAATTCTTTTTTTAACCTTCACTAAAAACTAGGAGAAGTGAATTTGCACTCATCATTGCACAGAGGACACTTATTCAGCTTTAAAACACAAAGAGAAAGTTAGAGGAGAATACAAAAAGGCTGCCAGCCTGCCTACTGCCGTACCTCTACAGTTTAAAGTGTATATTCCTACACTGTACAGCACATACAGTTAAAAAATAAGGAACTTGCAGGCTTTTCTTTTTTGTTTTTACATACTTGGGCAAGCAAACATGTGACCTTCGTTAAAAAAGCGCCAGTGTGTCATAGCTACACAACAACACAAAGAAAAATGTGCCTTTTTAATCCTTCATTCAAGAAAAATATAGATAGATGTGTTCTGTGGCAGAAAGAAACTCTTGCAGGCATTTTGTATGATTCTCCGCCATCTCTGCATCAGCTCGCTGAAGTGTTTTACCACTCTTCCATGCAAAATTGTTTCAGTTTGAGGGTTTAGGGAGGTTTTCTTGGATGTACTGCCCATTTCGAATCCCCCCCTCCCCCTCCCCCAACAACATTTCAGAGAGATTTAAATCCGGGCTTCGACAAAGCCAATCCATTATCCTCTGCTTTTTTTTTTTTCACTTTGACTCATTGCTCGGCGGATTTGCTAGTGTGCTTACAGTGTCATTATTCTGGTAAAACATCCACTTCAAGTTCAACTTTCAGACAGATGGCCTCACATTGTCTTCCAGCACTCCTTAATACGATGCAGGATTCGGTGACTGTACGCCAGCCAGTCCCCGAGGCAGCGAAGCAAAACCCCAACCGTGACATTTCCACCATCATGCTTCACCTGAAAAGCGCATGTAGACTGTTGCTGCGGCCGGACGACATTATCGCTGATTTGTTGGGCCTTTTTCCTGCTCCGTCTTTTATGCAGGTCAAATTTGTACAACTTGTAGACTTCAACATTTGCAAGAGTTACCTGCAGATCCTAGGATGAAATTTTGGGCTTCTTGGAGCGTTCTTTCTGTATTTAATGATGTGCTACTGAGTTGCTGGAACTGCCAGTCCCGGACAAATAATCAGCAGTTTAAACTCCACATTACTTTAGAAGGTTTTCTTCTTTTTAAATCCCCTCGTAGACTCCCTGGTATCCACAGCCTGATTCCTGAAAGTCTTAAAAAGCTCTTCAGCTCCACCTGTCACTCCCTAAAGAGGGTCTTATCATCGGCACCTAATTTAAAAGCCTTGGTTTTAATTTTAAAAATGTGAAGGTGTGATGCTTGTTTTGTATAACTGATCTGGTAATTAATATTACTTACTTCATGAAAATGTCATTTTTATGTCTTATCTGTTCTGGAGTATCTCATCCTTATACGCAGACGGTGTTTCAGAGACGATCTAATTGTTGAAATATGTTGAAAAAGTCAACATTGTCCATTCAGCGTTTGTTGTTTTTCACATTACATATCTATATAAATACAAAGTGTTACATGTCAGTAAAGCTAATCGCCTATGGTGATTTATTATCGATGTATTCATAGGTTATTTTATATAAAGTTGTAGCACTACTTCACTGGTAGTTTACACTCAATTAACAGAGTGTAGACTGAGAATACTTCTTAATAGAAATCTGCACAGTCATCATATTCTCTATAATACCTCAGTGTTGTTTCTCTGAGTAAATATCTTCTCAAAAGCACCTGAGCTGAGTTTCACATGAAATAATAACTCAGACTAACACAATAAAGCGTTGCCTCGGTTGTGGTTAATGGTGGATATGAGTTGATGTGTCAAAATGAGGTATTATTTCACTATATTCTGTTTGTTCCTTGTGGAGCTTTAGAGCAGATTCCCGTCCACCAGCTTTAGCGCAGTACTCTACTGCCCTCTTCCTTTGCTTTCACACCAACACTGACTCGCTGCCCGCTTAAGCCTTACAGCTGCAGGGGACGCCATCTGCTGGTGCAAAGGAGATTTCAGTGACAGAGACACACTTTCTGAGGCCATTTCTGATGCAATTTACATCTTGCTGCTTAACTGATAGCGAAGTGTAAAATAGTGAGCAGTGATTTTATGCATTCCTTAATATCTTTGTTCATATAGAGCAGATGTAGTCAGTGTGGAGGGCATTAGAGGACGGGCAGAACACACAAAATACGATCATCCGGGGTGGTGTGCATGTTATTTAATCCCTGACTCAAGTAACTGTTCAGGGCACTCTGACCTGCTTTTCATCACACTAACACGATGCACCCAACCTGCTAATGTGTGATAAATGACAAAGAGCCAGAAGCAAAGTCTGCCCTTGCACCAACTTTGCGTGGCTGCAAGGGCGAGCTTATGAAATATCAGCCGCAAGGAAAACCGGGCTTCTGATGTTTGCTGACTGAATCAGTCTGATCGCTTGCAGGCCTGTCACCTCATCACCAACACCAGCCTTGTTAAACTCAACGCAGACTGCACAGCTCCGAGTCCAAACTCGGCAGAATACAGTGCGGAAGCCACACAGCGGAGCTGCAGAGGAGAGGCTCTTGCAGCACAAAAGGGAACTGAGCATAAATCAGCTGCTGACATGGTTTCTGAGGCAGAAAACGTCATTATGGCCTGGCATCTGTCACTTCTGATCTTGGCTTCTTTATTTTGTGGTCTGCAGGAACAAGCTGACCGTTTGCTGCCACCATGTGACCACTCAAACTCCCTGCAGGAGTCAATAAGGCGTCTCATAGACTGTTGGGGGGGAGCTCATGTTGTTATGGATCCTTGATTGATTTTGTTCACTAGGCCTTATAAAAAAAATCTGGTTAATCATGTTTAGATGTCTCTGTACACAAGACAAAAAGTTCATCACATCACATTGCTTTTTCGTTCTTCTGATTTGAAATAAGCGTGAATTAGGCGATCAATTTCAATAGTTTTCATTGTAGCATTTTGCAGCTTGTCAGGGTTGTTACTGTTGTGACGTGGGGAAGTGCTTTTGGAATAAAATCTGACAGAAAGAGCCACACAAAGACTATACTCATAGTCAGAGCACACATTTTAGTTCACTGTGGCTTGTACAGCAGATGGTGATCACGGCCTCTTGTGTGTCAGTTTGTTCATCAGGCGCAGATGAAAGTCAATCCAAGGTTTAATCATGAGATCTTCTCAAGGACAAGAAGTTGTTTTTAATCCACTAATAAACCCTATTTGTGTTTTTAAATCTCAAACCTTTAACAACGTAAAATATATATGTATCGCATGTTGGACACCTGGACAGGACACTTCATCTGATTTAGTAGAAATCAGAGGAGGTATTCTTTACGGCAGGGGTTCTCAACTGGTGGGTCGCGGACCTGTCCTGGGTGGGTCGCGGACAGCTGATCAAAATGAAAAAATATATAATGTGTGTCTCAGGTTGGACTTATTTTTTATTTTGAAAAAACTTTTATTTTGACAGGCATGGTAACTACAGTTTGTTTGACGTTCATTTCAAGTTTGTGTTGATGTTGGGATGCAAGACGGCAAAGCGCAAATACGACCCGGAGTATTGAAAATGTGGGTTTTCATACTAGGACTGGCCCCGAATAGCCAACGATTCGTTCGCTGCACTAGAATCGGGATATCAGTTTGGATCTCCGAATATTCCTCCCACCTCCTCCTAAAAAAAAAAACTGGGTCACGGCTTAATGACCACAGGAAAATGTGGGTCCCAGGGTGAGACCAGTTGAGAACCCCTGCTTTACAGGATGAGCAAGCTCGTCCTTTAATGCTCCAGACCTGAGAAACAATCCTAACCAGCAATAGTTTAGTGAAACAAAATGATTAAAGGCTGTCAAAGTTAGAATTTGTCGAGTTTATTTAAGCAATTCAACGCTCTAATCTGCAGCATACCAACCTTACGGACATCTACATTCTCATATCACCAAACATCTTCAATACAAAACACATATTTAAATACAGTTTGGATGTTGCAATAATTTCCTAACTCAAAATCCCACAATGTCACTGAACTACATCACAGGAACACATTAAACCAGAAAGAAAAACACTTGAATGAGACAATTCTGAAGACAAGACATAAAGGTTTTGTTCCAAAATACAGGGTGGACGTTAAAGACATTACGGGTTTATGCTGACGTTAAGAGTCGTCACTGAATTGATGCAGATAAGAACTGAAATTTGAGGACAGAATTATCAGTAGAATGGATATTAGGTATTTAGGAATCAACTCCTTCATACATACACAGTGTACATTATACAAACTGTGCGTGGACACACACGCATCAGTCAACACCCAAGATGTTTTCCGACATGACAAACCATGACTGTGATGGGACTTACAGCGCTTCGCCGAATGGCAGCTTATGACAAAGCCTCTTAAAAATAGGGGCTGTCCTCTGTCAACAAAAGTAACATTTTTCAGAGAACAAAAGAGTCAAAAAGCGGGCCTGCTGATGCTGGTGAGAAAACACACCCAACAGCCTCCACTCGCCCATGCCAGGCAAAATACAGTAGTTTCATGCTTTAACCTTGGGTTAAAGCCTAAGCACAAACCAGACAGGGTTTGTAGATGACGCTGTGTTAAGTGTTGAAGCCCGCGGTGGTGACGGCGGCGGCGGTGGTGGTGGTGGTGGGGCTGCGGGTTCCTGCCTGCGTCAGTCCATCTCTGCCGGTCTTATGAGCTGATAAGGACGAGCCTTAATCATGTTTGCCCTTGCCTTTAGGCGTGCCTTCGTTCCAGGCCACATAAACAAACAAAGCTAAAACCACATGCACGGCCAGCACTGCCACGATGGCTGCATAGAAGTAGCTGTCGGAGCTCGACATCTTCATCGAACCTGGGAAAAGGAGGTGGAGGGTTAATGGACAAGCAGCTGCATCACAAAGTCCCGAGTGCAAAGGTGACTCGGTCATCTTTTATGTGAAGCTGAATTTATGACACCTTCAGTTTTCATTCACAAAGATATGGTGTGGCATGACAAGCAGTCCATCTAGCTGGGAATCGAACTGGGGAGTTACTGAAGCCGCCATTTGTGCCCTAACCACTCGGTTGTTGGGTTGCCCCAGAATTAAAACTTGTTTAGTGCTTTTTAGAAGAAAAAAAAAGAATTGCAGTGGCTGGTATTTATTATATTATACATATAATTTAATACTAATTATTGAGGGTAATATTGTTAATCAATGAGTCATGATTATAGAGAATTGTTGCAATTGTGACGAAGTACTCAACATTTTTTATTTCTGTAATTCACTGAATCTGCCACAAATAAAGCTTCTCACCCAGAGTATGTGGACATAGTGACTCAACTGAATATGAGCTGATTAGGGACACGTATTTGTCTTTTTAGAATTAAAGTTAATAATGAAAGTGACTGTTGAGCCGTCAGAGGATACAATTATGTGAACAATTACATGATTGTTCCATAATGTTGCACACCTTTAGATTTGTATTACAATCGCAGCATGACCGATAAACTGGCGATTATCAGTAAACAATAGTGCTCATGTCAGTATGGACACATACACTGGGCGGACACATTTTAAACGGTTTTTGTTGCATGTTATGCTTGTTTTAGAAATGGAACTAAGGAGAAATCACAGAAAATGAGCCCGAGACATGGTAATGACATGAAACGAAGCCAGAATGAAACTGTGGACATTATGGTTTAGGTCTTTTTATCACTAGGCCATGACAACACCACGTGCCTGCCAAAAATACATAAACGATCACGATGCATCATTTTGTTTTCAGCAATAGTCACGCGAACTGTTAAATGCAGTAAACCGAATTAACTCGAACACGCGTTACAACTTTTTACAGCTTGCTACAAAAAGAGAACTTGCACAGTTCTCATTTTCCATGACTAATCTGCAAGAAACGCCTGTCGGATAAAATAAAATCAAATCAAGTTTATTGCCATTTTGCTGTACATACAATAGTCATGCAGACAAGATGAAAGAGCCTTTCTTCAAGATTCAATCATTTAAAGCAATTTAAATAAATAAACAAGTGTTTGCATATCCGAATCAGCAGTTCAGCATTCTAACAGCTTGTGGAATGAAGCTGTTGATCATTCTGGAGGTTCTTCCCTTAATGCAGCGGAAACGTTTGCCTGATGGTAGCAGTTCAAACATGGAGACGGTGTGAGGAGTCCCTGAACATAGCTTACTCCAGTTTAAGAACTTCCTGGATGCAGTAGTATCCAAGTAGTATTTTTTTTCCCTTAACCCTACTAACAAGATACCGAGTTTACTGACATGCAGATTCAAGCAAGATTTAAATGCAAATTATTTTGGATGTCTTTGCCAGTTTAACGCCATTTTTCAGCTTTTTTCAGTGTTTTTTTTTCTTCTTCTTTATTTTCCCCTATCGTATCACACTGATCTTTTTAAGAATCCTTTATACATACATATAGCTACTTTAGATATAATTCTTGGACCACAGTTTGTTTTCAATCCATCATATTAAACACAATTCATCACATGCATTGATTATATAACCTTTTTGATGTCTTTTAAAAGTTGCTGTAATTTTCCAACTACTATAATAATAGGAAAATAACATCACCTATGTTCAAGGCCTGTTGTGTGGTCTTTTTGAAGAAGACAGCAGACGGTCTTACAGTTATTTCCAAAGCTGTATACATTATAGAAACTGTGTGTGTGTACTGGTGAGTTAAACAACAAATACAAACATACAGTGTGTGTCTTTAGTCTATTGTCTTCTTATATTCTTATATTGCTTTATGTGCTTCACCTTCACCATTTCTTATTTATTTAAGCATTTTTGGCTTTTCACTTCCTTTAATGTTGTTTAATGTTGTTTTCCTTACACTTCTCTTTGAATCTGTACAGCACTTTGTAACCCTGTTTTGAAAAGTGCTATATAAATAAAGTTTATTATTATTATTATTATTAGTCCTGTGATATTACTACCAGTTTACGTCTAAGTTAAGGTCTGTTCTGAATATTCTGTACAGGTTTAATCTGGCACTAAATTAAGACTTTAAGCTGGGTGCAGTGTGTGTATGAGTCCTTTATCTGAACTGGTGAGACTCAGTAAGCGCTAAAGGGCTGCAGACACAAATGAAGGAGAAATTAAAAAAAAAAAAAAACGTACCCTCAAAGATGTATGCCTTTGATGCAAAATACAGTCCGATGGGCAGCGTGACCATGAGGATGGTGAAGAACAGCAGTGTCTTGAGGGCTGACACCAGGGAGCTTTCATTTCTGCAGAGGAGCACAAGTTCATGAGGTTAAAACAAAACAGCGACGCTTCTGTTACAGAGCGACGAGACTCTAACATGCTGACTACTGATGTGGGGATGTCCCTTGGCAGTGGTTAACGCCGTTGTCCAGGAGTACGCCACATTAAAGACAACTCTTTTATATACTTCGGCACATGTTCCGCATCCAGCGGGTTTTCAGGTTCAGGCGTCACTGGATGCTAGGCTAATGTTAGCTAGCGGCACATTTAAACACCGTTTTCTCACCCTCTAAAATACGGCGGAGGTCCGGCCGAGGCGTCTGAAGCTGCTCTAACAGGTCCGTCCATTACTGGGCCGACGGGAGGAGAGAGAACGACTAAAATAAGAGAAATAAGCAGTTTATATCAGCGTTTATCCCCCCGTCTGTGTTGTTGTTTCTGCTGAAATCTCCTCTTCCGTGTTAGTCACGGGACCGTCACATGACGAGGTTCGGCGCCAGGAAGTCTCGCGATGCCAACATTTGTGACAGTTGTCCCTCGAGTTGTAGAAGACTTGGCCCATATCCTGCAGAGATAAATTGTTCTAGATGAGTTCTGACATTATTTCAGTAGCCCGAAGTATTGGACAGTTATCAACGTTGGAGAAATGTGTGTTGAAGTCAGTGTTTGGATTTTCCTGTCTTCTGTCGCTGAAGGATTTCACACAGGTTGTTTGTTCGTTTCACTCAAAATGACGTTTCTTTCGAATAATCGGGGTGCTGCATTCAATTTCAGAAGTAAAAGCCAGCAAATGTCAAATATTTTGAAAGAAACATTTGTTATGTAGTTGTAGTTCTGTTATATAAACTTATTTCCTGTTAGTAAACAGTGCTTTATATTTTTGAGCTTATGCAAAATTTTAATCTGAAAAGTAGCTGTGGTTTGCATTTAAATGATTTGTTTGTTTGTTTGTTTGTTTTTTAAAAAGTACCCAGACAGCAAAATCAAATTGAAACAACTTTGAAATGTCATCAGTCAGGAGCATTGAATTTATGTTGACGCCCGGTATTGAAACCAAGTTTAACGTGCTCGTTATGACTGATGTTGAATGAAACTCAGCTTTTCAACCTTAACTGACATTTAAACCAATTAAATATTTGAGCAATGGTCACAGATCAGTCAATTTTTTAAACTATCATCTAGAAGACAGTCCACATCCAAATTTTAGTTAAATTAATAAGATTGAAGCTTTCAAAATGTTTTCTTCAAGGCAAGTCTCATTAGTGTTCTACTTGAAACACATCTGAACATCCGAACAAATTTGAAATTAAGAAACAGAACATCCCTAGAATACTGTACTGTATATGAAGTGCTCCAACTTGTGAACGCATATTACAGACTAAATCATGTATTGGGTTGCAGGTATTAAAATGGTCGTATTTGCTCCAAATTTCCAGGCCGCATGTTTCATTATAAACAATAAAATAAACAAAACATGACACGACTTTAAAATACATTTGAAATATGACTGTAAAACAACAAAAACATAAACAAGCAACAACACTGTCTTTTTTTAAAGATCCCACATTCTGGTTCACACGTCCATATGGTGTTTCTCGATGACAGAAGAAACATCAGGAGCGATATAAGCAGTCAACAGCATGCCTGTGTATTTCCACCTTGAAACTGCAGCGTACCAATGACAAATATGCACATTATATAAAGACATCCATCCATCCATTATCTATACACCGCTTAATCCTCACTAAGGTCGTGAGGGGCTGGAGTCTATCCCAGCTGGCTTAGGACGAAGGCAGGGGACACCCTGGACAGGTAACCAGTCTATCACACTTAGAGACAGACAACCAAGCACACTCACATTCACACCAGTGGGAGGAAGCTGGAGAACCCAGTGAGAACCCACGCTGCACGGGAGAACATGCAAACTCCACACAGAAAGATCCCAGGTGTCCTCACCAGGATGCGAACCGGCGACCTTCTAGCTGCAAGGCAACAGTGCTAACCACTGATCGACCTTCCAGCCCCACAATTGAGACAGCATTGATTAAATAACAGCATTTAAATTGAACATTTCAAATTAAACCATATGATAGCGTTGATTTAATGACATCAACATTTAAACTAATAAAAGCTTCTCCAACATTGACTTTTAACCTTATTTAAAAATCAACCTTTGTGACCATAAAGCAAAGTTAAATTAATAACTGTTTCTTTCAGGGCACCACAATATTTGCATCTGAAATTTATAAAGCAACAGGAAAGGGAAACATTCAGCCACCACTAAACTTCAGTTAAGTTCAGCGCTAACGTCGACAAGCAGAACAGGTTCAAGGTAAAAATTTGTACTTAACGCTCACTTTAGCTTAATTTATATAAGAAATGCTTGTTAATATCATTTCAAATCATGTTGCTTCCTTCTTTTGTCTTTTGTCAATCTGTCGGTTTCTTTGTTTGTGTTAATTAGCAAAACATAAAGTCTGTGATTTAAGAAGTTTTAATTTAATATAACTTCATTTATGTGGGTATTTTACAGAAATATGTTGCTGCCACACCAGAAAAAGAAAAATGCATCATTCTTGCAAGATACAAAATATCTTCATGTTATTACGATACATTGACCATGTTGTGACTTTACATTTTACTTTTTACATCAATAGATCATTTTCTTATATGCTTATATTGTTTTATTGTGAAACTCATGTTTAAATGAGGTTTGCAGAGAATGAATAAACTGATGAATTTGGCTCATTAGCATGATTTGATTAAGTTCTGCATCCTGCTGGGGTGTGGACACAGTGAGATTGTGCTGCTATTAAAAACGAGGGATGAAGTCTTCAGCTGATCAAGAAGAAACGATGCTACATCCAGAAGGTAGGACTCATTCTTTCTCTGGACAGTCTTAAGTCCATCTTTTGTGTTCACAGACTCATCAATAACAGCAGAATCGCACCATGTTTCTACCAATGCATGAGGTAGAAATGAATCATATTGTGTGCATGAGCCACATTGTTCCATTGGTCTGTTCTTCGTGCACCGTTTCCTCATCCAGTTTTATGTAAGAAAAACCTTTGTTCTTAAGTTATTAATTTTATAACAAGATAAATAGTATATTTTTATGACAAGAAAATGACATTAAAATATTTTGCAATTATATGAAAAACATCTTTGAACAATAAACCTGATTCTGAGCCGCTTTTGTTTTCCTGGCATGACAGTGATGCTGTTGTACTTTTTGTAAACATGGTCATAATAAAAGTCAATTAGATTATTTCCTCACATGCAAGATTTACTATATTTATAACCGTAATTGAATTAATAAAAGCATTTTTGATGAGACTCAGTGGAAAAGCTCCCCCACGATTCTAAAATAAAACCGTGAAAGAAACCTCACAACTTTTTCTATTTTCCCCTGTACAAATTATATATACAACGCAATACAAATACGACACCACTACACGCTGTAAAAACCAAGCATTCGAAGACGTAAAGATTAAATATAAATGCAGCACATTCATTTTAAATGCCCCGCACACCTACACAGAGGTTTTCATTTCTGACTGATCAGACCTCTGCTCACGTCATGGAGGAGATGGAAACGCATGTTAAAGACTTGCAGGCGTTTACATCATCGAGACGACTGAATCATGACAGAGTCGATCATGTGAGGATTAAAATGCTGCGAGCTGAAAATATAACACCAAATGCATTTAATTTGGGGTTTCATTGAATGTAGTCTTTGGCTTGTGCGAGGCATTCGTATTTGTTTGTGTCAAATATTATAGCTTTCAAAAAAGGTTCCTATTTGTAAATATGAAACGGTTGGTGAAATTTGAAGGTATGACAGCCCTTATATGACAGGAAACATGAAGAACTGCAAGAAATGATGTCGCCTAATGCTTCCGGAAAGTTAAAGCTAAAGTTTCTTTGGAGTTGAATCAGGAACTAAATACTTTAGTACACATATGTCAAACTCAAGGCCTGCGGGCCAAATCCGGCCTGTCATGTCATTTTATGTGGCCTGTGAGAGATGTGTGTTTCCGAATCTAAAAAATAATAGGATTTAGTTGATATAATGTAATGCAATATAATGTTATTTTATAATAACACAGCAATGTGCCTACACAGGGCCGCAGACTGGCACCAAAATGTTCTCATATGTGAACATTTATAAGTGTGTGCCAGCTGAAGTTTCACGTGGTCGCATTGTGCGAGTGAACGATGGTCATCAGGCTGATCCGGTTCCTTCAGTCGGCACAGGTAGCTGCTGCTCCAGTTATTGTGGTAGCATCTACCGGAGCAGCATGTGAGGCATTTAGGGAACATCGGTAAAATGTACCATCAACTCATGTTGGGAAAGTGATTAGCCTGTGTCCAGCTATTGACTGATATCAGAAGAGGATTGGTGACAAAATAAATATATTTTCAGGTTAAAACATTTTACAAATATCAAGTCTTGTATCACTGAAAATCATTGCAACATAACTAAGTAATGCATAAACAGCTATTCATCAGCTGCATGGTGCATTAATAGCTGTGGCAGTGCAGAACCAAAACAAGGGGGTGGGCGACCAAATCATTAGCTGGTGCAACCAACAAAGAAAGTTGGTAGCACCAGTGCTACCATTGGAAAAGTTAGTCTGGAGCCCTGCTACATGGGTTTTGCTTTTAGATAAAGGCATGCACAATAGGAGTCGTTACATTTATACAGTCTTACGATTACAACCGGCCCTTTGAGGGTAAACATAATGCTCATGTGGCCCAGGATGAAAATGAGTTTGACACCCCTGCTTGAGTAGAATCTATTCTACTCATATTTCTAACATCACACCCATTCAGATGTTAATTAGTTGTTAAAAATTTAACCCACAGAAAAACACAAACGTGCACAAATACGCTGACAACACTGTCTTTTCCTTTTATTATTCAGAGGTCATTTATTGCATTCTTTAAAAAGCTGTCCTTTGTGGATAAAAGAACAGAAGATCTGCGTCTCCAGTGACCATAGGTGCTCCGTCCACATGTACAGTTCGTGCACGCTACATTCCTGAATAATGCAACACTGCGGACTATTTCTTGTTTAACTGCAGTGTAACAGAGAGCCATTTAGTCCATTTCGTGCCAAGCGTATACATTTAGTGTCGGTGCACTGGCTGCGTTTCTGGTGAGAGTCTCGCTGGCTGAGTCTCGAGGAGTGGCACTTTCTGCTCCAGTTGGCTTTTCTTCTCACTGGTGTCCACGCTCAGCAGGTTCCCCGAGACATATTTCATTTGAAAGGACTCTCAGAAGGGACCAGCCAGAACCGCTGGGAACAATCCAGTGATGTGTGTTCAAAATAATCATTTTGCTTTCTGTTGCAATTTCACTCCCAAGTAGTTTTCGCAGAAAAAGAAACACCCAAGACTTCACAGACACGGAGGACCGTCGCAAGTGAATCGTATTATTTCTTAAAAATCTGTTGCT